AACCTATCTCTCTCTTCCTCTCTCTCTACCGATCTATTTTTCTCACTCTTTCTCTCTATCAACCTATCTCTCTCTCTCTCTCTCTCTCACTCACTCTCTCTACCAATCTATCTTTCTCACTCTCTTTCTCTCTACCAACCTCTCTCTCTCTCTCTCTCCACACTATCATCATATCCTCCGCCACGCAACAGCTCCCTGGCCACTGGACTGTATTTCCTGCCCCGTCGCAACCATTTCCCTCCGCCGGTCCCGCTACCATGCCAAGCACAATCGCTTTCCTGTTGGTAACACTTTGTCTTCACATTAATACCGTGCGTCTTTTCGTGATACCCGTGTGCCGCCGACCGTACCCATTACCCAAACATGAGGAAAGGCTATTTTCTTTCTGACTTTATCTTTTAATTCGGTATGCTGGTGTGTGGTCGTTGTTGTTTAGCCAAACATGAGCAGAGGCTAATGTGTCTTTGCCTTATCTTTTATTTCGTATGTTGATATGTGGTCGTTATTATGTTGTTTTATGGTGATGATTGTAAGGAGTGTGAATGGCTTATGCAATATCTATGCTGGGAGTGTTTTCGTAACATGATTCAGAATGGAGTGGATGCAAATGGAGTAAATATAAATGGAATAATAAAGAATGGAGAGAGAGAAAAAAAGCATGGCGTGAAGGACGAGAATAAAGATTGTACTTTACGTTACGTGCTAAGAATGACATTATCCATGATACAGTGAGTGTCTAAATCAGTAGACAATGATATGGCTTTATATTTCTTTGTTTTCTTGAGTACGGGGGGTGTGAACATCTATCGCGTCAGAACTATAATTTGAGTTACATATTTTATATCTTATTTCTCTATTTCCGGGCCTTGGTCAAATAAAGTTTATATGTCGATTATTTTTTCCGTGTCTGTTTGTCATTCTAAATGGTTTATGAATTTCCGTTTTTCATCTGTCTCAATCTCCCTCTTTTTTGGGTCGGATTGATCAATTATATCGCATTTCCTAGAGGTTTTTGTATTTAATTTTATCTGCACTCTCATGTGAGATACGTTTCCGGGCACTTTGATTATATTAGGCGTAAGATTATTTTCTTTCAAATACTCATAGCCAAGGATAGGAGATTATTATCTTCGCAATAAAGTTTGATTTATATATAAATAATTTTTCCATAGACATTCACGAATTTCCAGCGAATTTGAAATCTTTCGGCGATGGCAGCAGACTTCATGGATTTCAGACCCGGCGTCTCCCCCGAATTCTGTTCTTGCACGCGAATTCCAGGATTGCAAAAGCCCGCAAGTTTATGCATTGCGCGTCCCAGTGAGAGGCGTGAGATACCAGCCTTCACCCATCCACCATATTAGCATTCCTATCTGTGAACGTCTGCGGTGTTTCAGTCCCAGGGCGTCCGTAATACTTGTGTCTCCGTAATGTGCGTGAGGTGGTGACTTCTGCCCCGGAACTTTTGGTGGGGGGTCGGAGGCGGGCTAATAATTACTAACCATAAAACCCCGATCTTCAGACGGGGCTGCAGACCTAAGAATCATTCATTTGAAGGGGGTAATTTAGGCACGGTCCCCACTACCCGCCTAACTTATGGCTTCCTAACTCACTCCTACAGCGAGCCTAATCCAGTAAAGTGCGCGGGAAACGGGCCCTAATTTACAATAATTGAGTTACAAGTATCATCATTGGCGCGGCCATACGTCACGTCGAGGCGCCACCCCCTCGAGCGCCATTGGCTGCCTCGAGGCACAGGGTAAGAGATGGGGCGGGGTTTAGTCGTTATCTCGGCCAATGCGGAGGGAGAAAATAATCTTGTGGGCGGAGCCTAAACCCTTTCGTCTTGAGTAGGTATGATGGTGTCTGGACTGAGTCTTGGCACTTGTTCTTGAACCTTTGGACAGTGGAGGTCAGTGTTGTGAAGATGAGTTTGGTAGGAGGATACTCGATGCCGCAGACTTACGGCCATGCCACGATGGGGCACACGCCTTCCCCCGAGGCACTATACTCGCCTTACTACTCCCACCCGAGTCCCCCCGGGCAGGCGCTGTACCCAGGCTGGGGCTATTCTCCCCCAGGCTACTCTCCAGGGTATTCGTCCGAGGTAGCCGTAGCCTGTCAGGAATATGGCGTGTCCGGAGGCTTTGTCGTGGGCCCCGGTTCCCCCCACGACCTCGGGGGCGACTACACAATTGAAATGGTGGACGGCTGCGGCCGCGTGGTGAAGCGAAGGTCGTCGGCCAACAAGAAGGAGCGTCGGCGCACCCAGAGCATCAACAACGCCTTCGCGGAGTTGCGCGAGTGCATCCCCAACGTCCCGGCCGACACCAAGCTCTCCAAGATCAAAACGCTGCGCCTCGCCACCTCCTACATCGCCTACCTGATGGAGGTCCTGCACACGGAGGACTCCAACCCCGCCCCCCCGCCCGAGCCCTTCCGCGCCGACCTGCCGCCCAGAACCAGACCCTCGCAGCCCATCCCCGCCGAGCACGAAAAG